ATCCAATATGGATATCCAACCAAATGTTCGTTCTATATCCCAAGATATTCGGATATTCAGCAAAATATTTTATGGGTATCTTTAGTAGAGGTTCATAAGTAACCAATGATTATTGAATAACGTCGAAAGAAAATAGCAGAGATAAAAAATATTTTCAACACTCAAAATATTTTCAACACTCTGCCTTTGATTTTGCCCACTAAGGAGAAAGTCATTCTTATTAGGACTCTTCAGCAATAAATGAAAATTCTCGACTCCAGTCTCTAATGGAGTGATTAGGACACACATTTCGATCGAACTCAATTACGGCGGGTCGAGCATGAGTAGATGCGATAGTGGTATCGCCATCTATACTTAGTAAGCAGAATCAAATAACATCTAGTGGATATCCACGATGGTTTGCGTTCGCGCCTAGACTTTGATATATTTAGTGGATATTCATGGGATATTGAATACACCTTAAAAAAATTAATTTTAAATATCTGAACGGTACTATTAGCGTTGTATGAAGATAATATAGTAGGGTAATGCAACAGTAAAAAGTGTTGGACGCAATCTCGAGCGGCATCTAGTGACGATTTAATGAAGTAGTCAATTTTTAATGCTATGCAGATACGCCATCTACGTCTTCTTTTCGTTCAGGCACATGGCCTCTATCACCTACCTATTATAGTTAAAAACGTCTTTATTTATTTAAAAATAACAATTCATAATAAAAGATATGAAAAATTAAACATAGTAATGAAAATTTATTCCAGTTGACAGAACCGTACAAATATAATTTTTGGATTAAGGTGATAAAAAGTGGTTAAGGACTTTGGTCAATAATTTGGTTATGTGCGGTTATGTCAAAATATATAAACAATAACAACTGATAACAATGTCCAATGTTTTAAATAAATTGAAAAGTTCCAAGTAGAATACAAAAAAGGAATAAGCTTCTGAAAATGTTGCATGTAATCTAAGTACCTCTAATTGGACTAAGTGTTGGAAAAGTTTATAACCATAAAAATAGCTGAATATTTTTATAGTTTTCAAAATTTGAACAAGCTTTCCTACAAAATTTAATTAAAGCTATCAACAGTTTGCAAGGTATTGAGTTAAGGAACAAGAAAATCACTAATCAGGGAAAAATCAATCAACAATCAACACTGGAAAACAAATTAAAAAAAGGGATATATTAGGGACTTCCAAATGTATCTTGGCTGTTGACCATGAATATAAGAAAAAAATGTTCTCTCGGCTGGCTCTGAGTGTTGAAATAAATCACGTTGAAAGGAAGTTTTCAATAGCTCCGCTCTTTAGGAATAGCTCAAGACGAAATCAATAGACCTACAAGTGGTCTATCTGTGGCAGACATATTCAGTTAGTCTTTATATTTCATTATGCAATGTTACAAGGTTCAACAACTTGCCAAAATGGTTAAAATTTATTTCCAAAATCAGTGCTCTTATTTAGTACAGAATTCTACGAACGACACAATAATTATAAAGTCCTAACTTTGAACATAAAAGAAAATCTTATAAAAAACATTTTTTTTATAAATTATCACTGTTTGGAAAAGTATATTTGTTTGTAAATATTTGTATTTATAGTTATATTTAATCCAGGTTAAGTGTCAGTGCGGAGTGTAATGTTAAGTATGAACAAAATCCGCCCATTCTGTTTATACATTTGGATACCGACCCTAGTAGATAGGCAATTTATTATTAGGTACTTTTAATTTAGATTTTGGATTAATGTTTTTGTATATGACTTGGCTGTTTAGTAATAAATAAAGTCAAAACTGTAACATGTGGTTTTATTCTGGAAAGTATTTTTAAATTGAATCACGCACGCAGTTTGAGTGAAAATGTTTTAAGTAGTTCAAAAAACAATCACTATTTTTCATTGTTTATAGAATACAGCCTTTTAGTTAGCTCAGACCCGGGCTCAGACAAAACTGATTAAATACCTAATATGTCTTATTATTTTTTGAATTTTTTTTATTTCGACTGGTTGACTATCTCAAAAATTAAAGCCAATCAAGCAAAACGTGAGTAACATTTCGCTTTTTTAGAAGAACAATAACGCAAGTGAAAATTAATGATTCCACAGAAATAGCAAAAAAAAATGTAATATGAAACTTACAACTAAGGCGTTAAGGAAAAGTTTGGAAATAATCGAGATTGCAAATTTATTTTAGTTTTAGACAGAACTACTTTATTTTATTCTTTTTAAATTGAAGATTTATAGGCTGGAGAAGCGATTTGAAATCGGTAAAACAATCGCCCAAAAACGCTCTTAAACCCCCGTCCACAAAATCACTGGTGACCAGTGTAATTTATAAATATATTCACACATAAATTTACAAGTAAATTAAACAACAAAATATTTAAGAATAGTAATATTAATAATTGTCATTGATTGAACTGAATATTCAGTCCAATAGGCTCTCGACCGAAGTCCTTTCCCTTTTTAGAATATCTTTCAAATTCAACAATTTTACATGTTTTGTTCCAACGCGGATTTTAATAATAGATTTATAAATTGTTTTTGTTTATTTGAATGTTAAAAGTTCTTAAAACTAACTTTAACATATATTTCCCATGCTGGCGTTTAGTGTTCAAATAATGAGACGATTAAACGAAAAAGGCTTGAGAGCCAGTTGCCCATTTTTGGTACACATTTGTGCAAGACAACCTTACAAATGTTTCCTTCTTTTTCTCTTGTAGAAGATGGACACACCAGCAGTGGAGCGCACAATGATGGTATTTTTAAAAGCCACGTCATATATTTGATTAGATAATTAACTTGATATAAGTGCCTTCAAGACTTAAGTCGTTAAGCGTTCAAGTTTGGATTTCCCAACCCGGATTCAATTACAGATAAAAACATTCTTTTTTATTTTGGAAAAAATATAAAAAATACAATTAATGCAATCTTTCTGCTAAATTTTATAGTATTTTGATAACAGTTCAGAAAAAATAGTAGTAGTCGGTAACTGAACTTTATGAAATCCAAAGTTGAGCACTTAACGTCCTGAGCAACGAAGGTTTATGTCAATGTTAATTATCTAATCAATGCAAATATGTAACATTCGCATTTTCTATAAGTTATTTTTTAAGACGCCTTCGTTGAGCGCTTCATCACTGTAGGGCATGCAGGAAAGTATTTCCATGTACAAAAAAATAAATGAAAAATTTGTAATTTTGCCTTTCGAAAATAATACTCCTAAATGTGCTACTGTGCTATCATAAATTGGTACTCGATTCGTTTTCAAATGGTGATAAAAGTTGAAAACTGAAAATTAGTGGCTTAAATGTTTTTATTACTTAGTATATAATTTCACTAAACGTGTTTGGTATTATAAGTTTACCTAACAGCAAAAAAAAACTGTTAGTTAAATTTTGTCAGTGCCGATTTTAGTAAAATTATATTGAATAAAAAAATTATAACTACACCTTTATACCTATTTACCCATTAATAATTTTTTAATTTTCAACTTAACATCCTGTATTTCAGAATATTTTATCCAAGCATTTTTTATTTTCGTCTATTCGACTCATTTTGAACAATAATCTTCAGTTGTTCATGTCCTATTCTTAATTTGATACCATTATATAAAAGTGAATAAAAATAAACAGCGTAAAATTCAAGTTTTAATTAACCATCAGCGATCAATCCAAAATCCAACCACAATATAGAAAAAAAAATGTTCCCCTATTATAGTAAAATTCCATCCAATCTTAAATCATTCAATCTTTTTCAAACAAAAACTGGTTTATTTTATTATATTGATTTTTTTGGTATTTTATGTGACCTTCAAATACCCTTTTGTAATAATTTGCAATAGTAAATATTAACTATACAAATACATTACCGAAGACAAGTATAAATGAAAAAGAAGATTTTAAATTATAATTCATACTCAAGCACAGACATGACCTAAAGACCTGACTTGGATATAAGTACAGTGTCGCCATCTACATTCTATATCCATCGTCCTCCAATGATAAGTCCATAAGGTTACCCTACTATATAATCTTCATACAACGCTATTAGCCACAATGGCGTAATTTTTAATAATTTGCTATATAATTACTATTATTTATGGACATTTTCATGTCTATAAATTACATTTCATGGATATAAAATAGATATCTACCATAGACTGGACATTTAGTGGATATTGGGATGTTCAGTAGATATCCAAAGGATTTGGTGTGCTGTCTGGGTCACTACCGATTTTGTCAGACCAATAGAAGGGCCAGGTCCAAAAAGTATTTGGTTGGCTGCTTTCTTGGCTAGTTAATCAGCAAGATGGTTACCTTTCGATGTGGGGAGACCTTTGATACATCTTAAGGTGACCACATTGTTGATGGATACTTCGGCTAAAGCTTCATGACATTCTAGTACTAACTAGTACTAGTATATTCGTGGTCTGTTCAGGGTAGTAGTGCTTGTCTGCTATCTGTATAGATGAGCATGTTCTTTCCATTAATATTGTTTCTGGTTATTTCTTTTTCTGCTATGAGAATCCCCTATTTGAACTTCACTGGCACTATTGCTCACATCCCGTTTAGGTTCAAGAATCTGGAGTATATTCCACATCCTGAGCCTTGGTAATTCGAGACATGCGTTTTATTAAACTCATCGTGTTACGTATTTGTTGAAATTAAGAAATATAAATTTAAAGTGACGTCTTATATTATTTAGAATGAAAAATCGTTTTCTAACCTAAGAAAAAAGTTAAGTTGGGTCTTAAAAAGATATTTAAATTGATATATAACTTATCCTTATTGGAGATAGAGCAATTTCCCATTCATTTCTGACCATTGTCCTTTAGAGTCAGAAACCCAAAAAAACGTATTATAACAAATCCGAGCAAGTTTGTGAAAAATTTTGTCGAACATTTTGAATTGGCCATTTTGACTTCATGAAATAAAAAAAAAATTCGAATTTTGGCCACTTTTGAGTACTGCCTGGCCCACTTGCAACGGCACGTACAACTGCTAGAACTAAGCCAACGACTAACGGCGCATCGCACTTCGCAGCGACACGACACTCCGTGTTTCACTGATGTATATTATTTATTACTTACAATAATTGCAAGATAATCGGTTGTTTGTAAAACATTTGTAGTGATTTCTTTTAAATTCGAAATATTCTATATTAATAAATATGTTTGTTTTTAAGTCTTCTTTGGAAGAATCGTTGTGTTTACCTAATCGAGTTTCTAAATGTAAATGGTCAAAAGATTCTAAAAATCAAGTGCCCTCGTGCCACAGTAAATGGGACTGGTAATAATTTTTATATTTTATTTATATTTATCAAAAAAATTTTTACTAATTGTAAATTTTAACAATATTTTATTAGTTATCTATTTCTAAAAATAATCTTTCTACTGGGTATCCCAAAATTGGACTATCAACAACCTAGTGGTACCAAATCATACAGTGTGTAACAGCCAAGTGGAATAAATTAAATAGCTCAATTACTGTGCATACTTATAAAAAAACCAGAAACACATTAATTTTATGTTATAAAATGACATCCTGCAACGTTAAAATTTCAACCCTACCTTTAACCCTATTCGAGTGACAGTTGCAACCCCCAAATTTGTAAATAGAAAGTAGGGACTTGTGATACCTCATTTGAAAGGTCTCTTAATTATCTAATCAAAAATAATGTGGTTTTCAAATTTAATGCAAAAATTAATAGTTAAAAAATCAATTATTTACTAAGAGTTTCGTTTGATAATGCAAAATAAATAACAAAAAACATCGATGTTAATGTAGAAGATGTTTAAAATGCATGCCTCAAACGTCCTAGTAGCATCATAATCGTAAACAAAATTCGAGAGACACTAAAATGGTGGTTTCCACCTTATCGAGACTGAGGCCCACAAAAGTAAACTCGTAGCGTAACAAAAACGAGAAATGATTTAACTTGAAACGAAAGACCGAAAGCCGATAGTAGTATTAGGACGTTGAATTTTTTGGTTTGTGAAGCATTGGCATTAATTAGGTCAAACCATGTGATGATTTTCACAAGCCTTGATTTTTAAAACCATTCTATATCGCCTTTTGATTAGGGTTTACAAACTTGTTTGAGCAATTTATCCAATAATAATTGGCCCCTTTACCTCTTAAGCCAGCTCATGTAAAATATTTGGGCTTCTTACTTCGCCTAATTATTTAATATTAATAAAGGGCAGAAGGATGAGTATTGCAACTATGTTGAAAGAAATAAATTCAGAATTATATTCAGTACATAACTGATATTTATTTATAAAATAAAAAAGACATAGTACCATCGCAACAGATCTATTAGAAAAAATTCAATATAAATCGCAATATCACAACTATAATACAAGAAGCCAATCTGACTTTCATGTACGGCAAGCCATCACTAAAAGTTCCCAAAATACAATTTTTATTAAAGGTTTAAAAAATTTAATAGACTGTCTACAGAAATTAAAAAAAAAATGTATTCAAAAGTAACCTCAAACAATACTTGATAAATAAACAGAACGGATATACTTTCTTGTGATAATACTCTTTAAACCTGCCCTTTTTAAGAATTTCCCTTAATTTATTGTTATTTTACCCCTCGTTTTATCCGCATTTATTATAAATTATTTTTGTTTTGAGATCATTTACTTTATTTTAAAAATTACTTGATGTTATATTAATACTAATATGTTTTAATTATTAATAGTTTTGCGACGATAGGTTATAGCAACTTATTAATAGCCACAAAACTATTTTTGTGTTAAAGTAGATCCATAGAGAGCAATGTAATTTACGAAGGCTTTCTTTCAACATACAAATAAATGATAACTTTATAACTAAAATAAAAAACAACAAAATACATCGTTACCAAGGTAAGAAGATTCACATTCAAATATTATTTATTGAGGAAATTTATGACTAGAAGTTTACTAATTATTATTTACAATTCGCTGGTTGAATATGTAATCCAAAATCGTATAATAAAATTTTTCTACAAAAACCCAGCATTATATCGTACCTCTCTTTCATATAGTAAAAAAGTGCTTTGTATAAGAACATTATTTTATCTGTCTTGCTGTACCTTTATTTATGGAAAGCCTGAATTGAGATACACTACAAATTATTTGCAATAAATATCAAAAGAAGTATACATTTTTAAATAATTTATTATTTAAGAGCCATTCACACATCACAGTTAACATCTTGATACTTGACAGGCACAGCCAAGCATTATTCTGAATTTTGCCAAATAAAATGGCCAGGTAATTATTCTATGGGGTTGCGACAGAGAGCCAGTAAATTTGATGAAGCTGTTTTTGTGGCTAGGGGCGAAATAGTAGTACGCTTAAGTTAGCACCATCATAAAAAAGTCTTTTTTAAGAAACTGCTTATATATTTTTCATAAATTGGCAGGCTTTGCGACTAATTTAGAATAAATATAGCCTCCAAAATGGCTATGGTTGCAAGTATGAAGGTCGCAACCCGCCTTAGAAATTTCACCTTTACTATCAACAGCTGTTGTTTGACAGGTCGTTAGAGAATGTTTGCAATTTATGGAATGTTAAGAATGTTAGGGATTTTGACGATAGAAATAATTGGAATTTCTAAAATTGTCACATTAGAAATGCATAGGCGGATTTTAAGAAAATTGATTTTAAAGTAATTAGGATGAACCGAAAATTCTGAAAATCAATAGGTTTCTAAGTTAGAAGTAATTATTCAAGAAAAACAAAACCGCAAGTCAATAAGAACTTTCGTTCTAGAGGTATCGTGCCGGCATACATACACACAGACGACCAGACAATTTTTTTTGCATTTTCGGACTCAGAATTATTGGAAACATGAAAAAAAGTTTTAAAAAATGGGAGTAAGAAAATGTTTTCGTCTGCACGAATGCAATACTGAGGCCCCATAGGAAGGCTCTCAGTAATTGTCTTCTTACGTTAATCAACATCTGAGGCGTGACCGACGCAATCGCAAACGTTATTATTCTTCCTAAATCAGCTTAATCACACGGTATAGATTTGTATAGCATATTTATCACACATCTCCAATGGCGTAAGATCAGGTGATCGTACTGGCCATTCTATCGATCCTCATCTCTCTATCTATCGATTTGGAAATATTTGGTCGACGTATTGTCCAAATTTTTTGGTCCAAATTTTTTGGTCCAAATTTTTTGGTCCAAATTTTTTTTGTCCAAATTTTTTTGGTCCAAATTTTTTTGGTCCAAATTATTTTGGTTTAAATTTTTTTGGTCCAAATTTTTTTGGTCAAAATTTTATTTGTTTAAATTTTTTTTTGCTCAAATTTTTTTTAATCAAAATTTTTTTTGGCTTAAATTTTTTGTCCAAATTTTTTTGGTCCAATATTTTTTGGTCCAAATTTTTTTGGTCCAAATTTTTTTGGTCCAAATTTTTTTGGTTCAAATTGATTATTGAATAACGTCGAAAGCAAATAGCAGAGATAAAAAATATTTTCAACACTCAAAATATTTTCAACACTCTGCCTTTGATTTTGCCCACTAAGGAGAAAGTCATCCTTATTAGGACTCTTCAGCAATAAATGAAAATTCTCGACTCCAGTCTCTAATGGAGTGATTAGGACACACATTTCGATTGAACTCAATTACGGCGGGTCGAGCATGAGTAGATGCGATAGTGGTATCGCCATCTATACTTAGTAAGCAGAATCAAATAACATCTAGTGGATATCCACGATGGTTTGCGTTCGCGCCTAGACTTTGATATATTTAGTGGATGTTCATGGGATATTGAATACACCTTAAAAAAATTAATTCTCTCTATCTATCGATTTGGAAATATTTGGTCGACGTATTGCCGATTGCCGGAAATTGTTTTGGTAATGTGGTGGTGCTCCATCCTGCTGAAATCATAATATACCATTATACCATTCGCTGGAACGTGTGGTTTACTTGACCAGGATATAAATTTGCCAAAGTTGGCACGACATTATTTTGGAACAGTGTTAAATAAGTATCTACATTCAATGTATGAGGGTTCTTCTCAAATTCAATGTGGTAGGATCATTACTTAGTGAATTCAAAGATTGTTTTATCTGCCTTACATGTCCAAGCTCTCGAATTTTTTTTTAAATTTTATCAATTGTCGCTTGATATATGGGCGTCAAATTAGGAAATTTTTCTTAAAACAGGCGAACAACTTCGATCTGTGTTTGTGTTCTATTGTCGTAACCAAAAAGATTCTGATATGTAGTACCTAAATAAATTCAAATCACACGTACAACACTGACAGCAATCAGTGTCATGCGATTACAATCACACATTGCTAAGCCGATTTAAACGAAATTAGGAATGCCAAGTATGAAGAATGTTGATAACTTCTTATGCCTTTTTTTTGTAATACGAAAAACGCTATTTAATTTTTTTGCTTGCTCTCATCAAAACCGAAACTATTTCGTCGATTAGATGATTTTTTTACTTATAATTTTTGCGATAAATTAGAAAATAACAGCATTTTTGAATGTTCAAATGAGGTAACACTGCCAATTTACAAATTTGGGGGTTCCATCAGTCACCTCTCAAAGGGGGTTGAAACTTGTGTAAAAATTTTTGCGTTTTAGGATATCATTTTATAATCTAAAATTAACTTGTTTCGGAATTTATTAATATGTAGGTACACTAATTGAGCTACTGAATTTATTCTATTTGGCTCTTATTCACTATACAGTGCTTTTTAGATAAAAGTATCCACCTTAAGTAACTTTTGAAGGACTGATTATTACAAAAAACAAAAAAATACGTCAATTAATATTCGAAGGGGGAGATATCGTGCCATATTTAAGTTTGCTAAAAAAGTCACCCTTTCACCCCTACTATCATACCTTCAATTTTTTTAAATGGCTTGCCCCATTTTTTTATCCATTTTTGGATTGCTCTCGTTTAACTGATTTCAAAAATGTATGAAACATGGGGATTAAAGTAATTAGTTTACGATCTACAGAATTTTAAATTAAAATAAAATTGAATTGTGCAAAACTTTTATTTTAATGATTTTGTCACAAGCGTCTCCAATGACAAAACGAATATTTCATTTTCAAAATTTATTATAAAAATTGTTCAAAATGTCCACCATTTACTTCCATACAATGGTATAACCTAGATTGAAAAGCCTCCCTGACATTACCGAACACGTGTGCATTTAAATGTAGGCATTCATACTCTATTCTTTGTCGTAAATCTTCTAAAGATTCTGGTTGGGTAGCATAAATTTTTGTTTTTAAATAACCCCATAAAAAGAAGTGAT